TTTTTAAAAAATCTTATCCAGTATAATCTTACTGAATGGTTCCATCTATTTCTCTTTCACCTCTTTCCAGAGTTCTAGAAAAATATATATAATTCCTGAATCTTTCTCTTTGGATGTTGCTGAGTTACCTAAATTCAACTAACAAGTGTGTTTCCTTACCTCTCCTAATCTGGTCATCCTTCCATATGTAGGTTTTAGTAGTGATGTCACTGTTGATGAAGTAAGCTATCAAAGCCCAAAACCTTAGTATACTAAGTCTTAATTTTTCATATTTCTTCTCCATAAATATCCAATAGATCATTGGCCCTCACACTTCATCCTTAGAATTTTTTCTTGTATGGATACATTTCTTGTTATGATCACCAAGATTGCCTAAATCCAGGTTCTTACTTGGACATTTTTTGTTTGTTTGTTTTTTCTAAATAGGCCTCTACCCTCCAGCCCCTCATTTCTCCAATCCATCACCACCTTATCAAAAACAGTTAATTTCCAAATACATAGATCTATTTATGACCCTTCTCAAAATTACAAAAAAAAAATCAATTGTCTCTAGTGTGAAGGTAAATGTTAGAAAAGATCCTTTTTGAACATCCCCATTTCCTTTACAGCTTCTGCTGGGTCACTGAGCCTCACCATACTCTTGACAATACAAGCAAAAGTGTCTTCAGTCACATCACACTGATTGTCACTTGCATAACACTACACATCGTTTTTATTTCTTTTTATCTTGTTCGGCCCTTCTGCTTTGAATTCTTCTCCTTTTCTTTTCTCATAACTACACATTTGTTTTTCTCCTTATTCACCCAGGCCTAATTTAGAATCAAGCCACGTATAGAGCTTTTTCTAGCATACTCTACACCATTAATTAAGCTTCTTCTAGCATACTCCACACCATTAATTATTCCCTTTCCAGTTAAACTATGTGCATTTGTACATACTGCTATTTTATAGTTTATTACATTGTTCTGGAATTAATTTTGTATGCTTAGGAATATTTTATGTTTCTTAATTTTGTATGTATTTAAACATTGTAGACAAAGGCACTACGTACTCATCTTTGCATCCTTCAGATGTTTTAGTATGCTTGGCCCACAAAGGGTACTCAATCCATAGTAAAAGATTGGAACTAACTACACTTTGCTTTCCTTACAGGTAAGACATGTATGTATAGGGCAAGTGCTTCCAGTATAGATGTAAGAATGACTGGAAAATAATTTAAATTAAATACTTTCAAATTCTTTTACATTATGAATTCATGTTCTTTATCCTAAACCCTAACACTCCAGACCCAGAATATATTCTGCCCATTCGTTTCAGGAATGTATCTCATTCGCATTTACTTCTTTTAAATAAAATGTATTTACTAAAGGCATTGATTCATGAATCTGATCTTGAAATGCGAACTTTATTTAGTGAACTTTGAATAGTTTGCAGTTTTGAATACCAAATTTCCGAACTTCTTAATGAGTTTCTCCACTTTAAAAATTATGCTTAGTACTTTACAAGAGATCTCATATAAAAATAAATTAGATCTTCACAATTTAAAGATGAAGGGGGGGAGAGACAAGAACTCAGGGTCACTGAGGAAATAAAGTAAGGGTACGTGGACACACATAAATGAAATGTATGTTTAAAGTTTCTAGGATCTACCTATGAACAGATTCAGTGAAGACTGTGAAAAGAGACATGCTCTTTTTGCAGATTTATTTTTTCTAATGGAAAATTGTGGGCAAAATAATGACAAATAGCTCTGCATTTGCAATGCTATGCTTCCTTAAATATAATGACTCAGCTTTTAAATCGTAAATTGTAGATTCTAAATTGCTCCTGCCTCATCTATCTGTAAAATATGTAAAGTTCATGAATTTGAATCATCATACCAAATAGGAATACAAAATGTATCTGTACTTCTAGAGAAGAATATATTTTACTGGGATAATTAACAGTAATATATTTTAACATTTATATAAAATCTGGCCTTCTATCAAAATTTTTTTGTAAGCTTATGTTTAGAAAACACAAGAGAGTGGCAGATATTAAGAAAATAATATTTATATTTTCCTAAAACTACTGGGTTTTAAAATTAAAAAAAAATATATTGGTGCATTATTATTATACATAAAGTGAGATTCCTTATGCCATATTCATTCATGCATATAATATTAAACATTACTAAGGATGGTGTGTGAAAATGAAAAAAATCAAAACAAGACAGACATTTGTCTCCAAATAAATATATATTTTTAACATATTTAAAGTAGTATAATGTAAAATGAGAAGTTAAGACTGGATGCCTTATAGTTCAAAATGTAGATACAATGAAGTTTAATATATGTGTGTATACATATATGTATTACATATATATTTATATTTATTTATCTGCATTTGCAATGCTATTCCTCCTTTTATATACTGAGTCAACTTCTTTTTTCAAACTCCCCTCCCCCCATTTTTATGATAGTAGGGATTTAATGTGGGGGTGCTTTACACTGAGCTACATCTCTAGCCCTTTTTAAATGCTTTTTATTTTGAGACAGGGTCTTGCTAAGTTGCTTAGGGCCTTACTAAGGCTGGCTTTGAATTTGCAGTCCTCCTATCTCAGCCTCCTGAGTCACTGGGATTACAGGCATGTATCACTATACCCAGTTTAATATTTTTTGTTCTCAAGTCTATTTTATCTGTTGTTGAAATAGTCACTCCAAATATCTATAGAGACAGAATGTAGATTAGTGGTTGCATAGAAGCTTCAGGATAGGAATGTGTGTTGTTCAGGGCAGTGGAATGACTACCAATGGATATGGGGTTTCTTCCTCACACACACTTGGTACAGGGGATTGAATCCAGTCCAGTGGGGCTATAACACTGAACCGCATGTTGAGAATTTTTATTTTTTATTTTGAGACAGGGTCTCACTAAATTGCTTAGGGCCTCACTAAGTTGCTGAGGATGACTTTGAACTTGCCATCCTCCTGCCTCAGGCTTCTGAGTCACTGGTATTACAGGCATGTGCACCACTGTGCCAGCTAATGAACCAATTTTCAAATCATAAATTGTAAATTTTAAATAACTCATGTCTAATATTTTATCTGTAAAATATGTTGTATATATATATATATATTCCCAGTATATATGTAAATTTTACATATATATATATATATATATAGTTCATGACTTATGATGATTTGACTTACCATTTTTTTAACTTTCAGATAATAGGAAAGTGATATAATCAAAATTTGTTCTGATCTTTTCTTGGATCACAATGTGTGGTTACATCTAGGAAACTAGGCTACCAATCAGCCGCATGATCATGATTATGAAGGATAACTGATACTTTACAATGTATTATGTTAGCATCATTTTCTGGATACAGGTATATTCAATAAGTTACAAGATATATTCAACACATTATTACAAAATAGGCTTTGTGTTAGATGACTTTGCTCAACTGCAGACTATTATAAGTATTCTGAGCATGTTTAAGGTAAATTAGGTTAAGCTATGATATTCAGTAGGATAGATGTTTTAAATTCATTTTAGCTCAGGATATTTTCAGTTTACAATGGGTTGATCAGAATAGAATCCCATAATTCAAGAAGCACCTGAAATGCATTCCCACAGGGTTTGTATTTATATTTGGATGCATTTATATAGGTCTTTATATATGTATTGTATTTGTATCTATACACATATATTTCTGTTTACATGATTTATGACTACTTGAAATATGTCATTCTCCTTTGAAAAATCAAAGGGCACCAGTATTACACAGATTATATATCTAAATTTGTTTTTGTAAAATTTGCATATGAGGGAAATTAATATTTATAAGATAGAAAGCAATCCCACAATATAATTTCCACTTTGACTTGTGCTCTTCAGGTTCTCCATAGATATAAGATTGTTCACCTTAGCAGAGAAAGCACAGACCTTTGAAGATAAACTCCAGATCTGCCATTACTAGCATTGTCTTGGGGAAGCTCTTTAACCTTTCTGAATTTCATTTTTTCATATATTAAAGAAAACAAAACAAGCAAATAAAATATCTGTCTGGCATACTATTGTGAAGATTGAGATAAAATACAGGCAAGAGACAGTGAGGATTAATTTTCTTCCTTCTACCCTTGATGATGGTCTTTTTGCTTATGTTTTTGCAGTTAGATTCTATTCAAGAACATTAATTCCTTGAGAAAAAGTTCAATGCCAGGATGTAGAGACCTTAAACGTCACAAATTTATAAGTACATTGCTGTAATTTTTAAAAATTTGTTCTCAGGAATGTAAGTTCTTAGAATGTTCATACCGTTTCATTTTAACTTATATTTATAATCTTCCTCGATGTCCTTTCCAAAGTCACTGATAACTGAATCTAATATAGATATCAAATATTATTTTATTACCATACCTGCTCTAGATAAAAGATTCACTGTTATTGAGAGATGAAGAGAAAAGTTAGATTTTATTTCTACCACAGTAATTTAAAAGCAGGTTCAAACTCAAAGCCATCAAAGAATTTACACAAGCTCCTCTAAATCTGTTTTATCATACTCCACTTCTAAAAGTAAATCCAGAAATTTTCTAAAAATCTCAAGCCCTTAATTTCCATATGATAGAAATGAACATGTGAAAAATGGATATCAATTAATAGCAATAAAGTAATCATGGTATTGATTTGCAGCCCCACATTGATTTTTATAAAGATTACAGTATTTAATCAGAATTGCATCTGTACCCTCTCTGAAGTCTGAAAACTGTGCTCTAACTTACCATGCATTTCTCATTCTAGTGGTTTATAAAATCTGATTTATTCTTTAATTTCTGAAGTAAATAAAAATAAGTTGTTGCTACCTATTAGTTTAGTTACATGTACTTTTATACAAACTCTGACAGTTTGTTCTAATGTGAGTTTATCTAACAGGTTTGGTGGTGTTAGCAGGGGTGTAGGTGCTCTGTTTCAAGCACCTTCCACCTGTGAAGGAGCACGTGCCCCTCAGTACTCACAGCTGACATGATGAGTTCTCCCCCCAGGTTCTGGATCTCAGCTTTAACTTGGCTGCAGATTTTCAGTTGATGGGAATAGAATTTTATTTGTTCCAGATAGGCCAGCAGGTCCTGTTTGCATGATGGATCTGGACACTAAATATGCATCAGAGATAAAACAGAGATAGCAAAACATAGATGAAAGTGAGTGAATATAGTCATTAAAAATACCTTACAAGGAAGAAGCTTTCTTTTCAGTGAACGCCATCCACTTCTCAGGTTACTCCCATGTAGATTCTGATGTGCTTCTGTTTACTCATTTTTTGACCTTCATTACTACTTGAGCAAAATAAATGTTAAAGAAATTCTAAAATATAAAAAGAAAATGCCTTTACTATATGACAAGATGAGAACCCTTCAGATTATATGTTTAGGTAAACGGGAAAGAAATATTTAAAATGCAGTCATTCTCTTCATCTAGGATTACCATTAGACTACTCTTTGGGGTCTAGAGTTCCACATTGTCTGTGTTGTGTTATTTATGTGGAAATAAATAAATACTACAATGAAATAAATTATGCTCTATTTACTTTCAGCATCAAGCATTCTTAGCTATTAATAGACAAAGGAAATAATTTCTACCTTAAAAACAGCTGTGACCTAACTAAAGCCAAGAAACAGCAAATATTTTTTTCAAAATATATTAAATTTCTTTACAACAAACAGCTTCCCACACTGTGTTATCTTCTTAAGAAACTCTTGGAAAACAGTTTGAGCTTTATCAGAATATGGTAAATATCTTGGGTTAAGGTTTAGTCTTTGTGCTCTTCTTCCTATGCAGTGATTATACATTTTTAAAAATCTTTCCTAAATTAATTCCACTTTTAATAAATTTTCATAAGAACATAGAAATGTAGACCATGATTTATATGCAAAGATATTCACTGTCACAGTACTTAACAATAGCAAAATTTAGAAATAACCTAATGTCCTAAATAATGGAAATACTAAATTCATATGCATTTCTGTATAATGTGAGGTTATGTAGTCTCAAGAAATATTTTCAAAGGGTGTGGGGTCATGTTTTTGGAAGGTAGAAAAATCAATATTTAAAATTTTACATAACATTTAAATCAAATTGTATGAAAAGAATGTGGTTTCAAAACATACTAAAAAGAAACATGAGAATAATAATAAACAAGATATGCAATTTTTATGTTTTGTATATCTTGAAATGAATGTATATTATTTCTATAATTATAAGATGTTATAAAAATTTTCTTTCTAATGACCTAAATTGCTAATAAAAAGGTAGGATGAAAGACCAGAAAATACTTCATGCATTTCTGCATTGATCCAGGACAGTCAGACTTCAGTTTTCAATGGGGACAGTTTCCTGGTTGTTCAATTCCCTCATATAAAATGGAAAGTATTTGAATATAACCCATACACATCATCGCAGTGTACTTTAAATTATCTCTAGATTACTTATAACACATAAAATACTGTAAATGTTTATAAATACTTGATAGAAAAGGATAGCAAGAAAGAGAAGAGGGAAGAAGGGCAAAGAGGAGGAATGATAATGGCTAGTTTTCATACAGGTTTTCCTGTGTGAGAAGCTAGGTTAACTAATGTACGCTTATCATCTCATTCAGTTGTCAAGCGCCTAACCATCAGGTGTTTTTCCCAATTTACAGATAAGAAATTACCTACAATGAAGAAAAGCGAGTTATCTCATTGTTTTACCTTGACATGAAGCTAATCTTTATAAGGTACTTCCTTGGTCTGCCAGGCCTTTGACTGCATAACCCCTAATATTCACACCACCATTTTAGTAAGGCTTTAATTGTTGTCCTTTTTCAGATTATTTTTAAAATTTTTAATTGATTTTTAAAAAATAAATGACAGTGGAATGCATTACAATTCTTGTTAAACATATACAGCAAAATTTTTCATATCTCTGATTGTAGATAAAGTATGTTGACACTAATTCATGTCTTCATACATGTACTTTGAATAATGGTGTCTATCACATTCCACCATCCTTGCTAACTCCAGGTCCCCTCCCTTCCCCTCCCACCCCTCTGCCCTATCTAGAATTCATCTATTCCTTCCATGCTCCCCCTCCCTACCCCACTATGAGTCAGACTCCTTATATCAGAGAAAACATGCAGCATTTGTTTTGGGGGTATTGACTAACTTCACTTAGCATTATCTTCTCCAACTCCATCCAGTTACCTGCATTCGCTTTTATTGCTGAGTAATTGTTGTCATTTTTCAGATTTTTAAAAGTAGTTGATTTGAATTTAGTTTTCTCTTCTTCATTCGCATGAATCTACAATGATATTTTCTATATAACTTTCACTCAAACCCCTCTTTTTTTTTGTCCTGTGGAACTATTTGTATATCAACTGCTTATCAAATATTTGATTTGCAAATATTTTTCCCAACTTGTAGGCTGCTTTTTTATTTTGTTGATTGCTATGTTGTATAAATTATATACATATAATTTTATAAAAACAAAAATTTAAAAGTCAAATAGTTTTTACTCATATATTTTTATATATAAGTGATAAAAAACTTTGCTTCCTAGATTTGTAGAACATTCTTGTTCTTGACTTTATTTTTTCCATGTAGAATTTGCATAAAATAACTTTTTAAAAATAGCAAATGTTAATGGATAATTATAAATGTAATGCATTCCACTATTGTCATGTATGTAAGAAATTTTAAAAAAGCAAATGTGATCTTCTTAAAATTTGTTCCAATTAGTCACACATGACCATTGAATGCATTTTGACACATCATATGTAAATGGAGTATAACTTCTCATTCTTCTAGTTGTACAGGAAATAGGAAGCATTTTGGTCATGTAATCATATAGCATATAAGATAATAATGTCCAATTTGTTCTATTATCCTTCCTACCCCCATACCCCTCTCCTCTCCCTTCACTCCCCTCTGTCTAATCCAAAATACCTCTTATCTTCCCTAGCCATCTGCCCCCCACCCCATTACTGTGAATTAGTATTCATATATCAGAGAAAACATTGAGCCTTTGGTTTTTAGGGATTGGCTTATTTCACTTACCATTGCCTCCAGTTCTATCCATTTACCGATAAATGCCATAATTTCATTCTTCTTTAAGGCTGAGTAATATTACATTGTGTATATGTACGACATTTTCTTTATCCACTCATTTATTGAAGAATACTTAGGTTGGTTTCACAGCTTAGCTATTGTGAATTGTGCTGCTATAAACATTGAAGTGGCCATGTCACTATAGTATGCTGATTTTAAGTCCTTTGGTTATATGCTGAGGAATGGGATAACTGAATCAAACGGTGGTTCCATTCCAAGTTTTCTGAGGGATATCCATACTGTTTTCCATTTGGCTGCACCAATTTGCAGTATCACCAGCAATGTATGAGTGTACCTTTATCCCCACATTCTCATTGACATTTATTGTTGCTTGTGTTCTTGATAATTGTCATTCAGACTGGAGTGAGGTGAAATCTCAATGTAGTTTTAATTTACACTTCATTAATTAACAGAGATGTTGAACATGTTTTCATATATTTGTTGACTGTATTTCTTCTTCTTAAAATGTCTGTTCAGTTCCTTAGCCCATTTATTGATTGGGGTATTTGTTTGTTTTTGGTGTAAAGTTCTTTTAATTTCTTTATATATTCTGGAAATTAATGTTCTAACAACTGAGGTGCAGGTGGCAAAAATTTTCTTAAATTCTGTAGGCTCTTTCTTCATGTTCTTGATTTTTTTCTTTGCTGTGAATAAGGTTTTTATAGCATTTCCATCCCATTTATTAATTCTTGATTTACTTCTTGTAAATCTTCTAAGTCTTATTAAGAAAGTTAGTTTCTAAGATGATATGATGTAGATTTGGGCCTACTTTTTCTTCTATTAGGTGCAAGGTCTCTTTTATAGTACCTAAGTTTTGATCCACTTTGAGTTGAGTTTTATGCAGAGTGAGAGATAGAGGTTTAATTTCATTTTGCTACATGTGAATTTCTAATTTTCCCAGAACCATTTGTTGAAGAGGCTATCTTTTCTCCAGTGAATGTTTTTGGCACCTTTGTCTAGTATGAGATTACTGTATTTATGTGGATTTGTCTGGGTCTTCCTTTCTGTACCATTGGTTTATGTGTCTGTTTTGGTGCCAATACTATGCCAGTTTTGTTACTATAACTCTGTAGTATAGTTTAAGGTCTGGTATTGTGATGCCACTTGCTTCACTCTTTTTGCTAAGGACTGCTTTGGCTATTCTGTGTCTACTATTTTTTCAAATGAATTTCATGATTGCTTTTTCTAATTCTATGAAGAATGTCATTGCAATTTTAACAGGAATTGCTTTAAATTTGTTTAATGGTTTTGGGGGTATGGCCATTTGAACAATGTTAATTCTGCATATCCAAATACATGGGAGATCTTCTAAGTTCTTCTTCAATTTCTTTCTTTAGTGTTCTGTAGTTTTTGTCATTATAGAAGTCTTTCACCTCTTTTGTTAGATTGATTCCCAAGTTTTATTTTTTTAAGGTGCTTGCTAATGGGGTAGTTTTTCTAATTTCTCTTTCAGTGAATTCATCACTGATGTATAGGACCATATTGATTTCTGGGTATTGATATTATATCCTGATATTTACTGAGTTCATTTATTAGGTATAGAAATTTTACAGTGGAATTGTTTTGGAGCTTCTAAATATAGAATCATGACATCACAAGCAGTGATAGTTTGAGTTTTTCTTTTCCTATTCATATCCCTTTAATTTCTTTCATCTGTCTAATTGCTCTGGCTACAGTTTCAAGGACAATGTTGAGTATAAATGGTGAAAGAGGGCATCCGTGTAGAATTATGTTGGCCTTGAGTTTATCATATGCAGTTTTCACAATGTTGAGATATGTCCTACTTTTAAAGGAATACCACCAGGGATTTTTGGCAAACCAAGCAGCAGAATATCAGCACACTTTGGTTATTATTTCCCAATTTTTAAGACAGGAGATATTGACTAGAATAACTGGTTAGCTCTTTAATATACTGTTTTGTTTTTATAAATTTAAGTTTTATAACCATGGGGTCATCTAGTACAGGTAAGAAGATATCCTGTCAACCTAAATGGTTTTCTCATATTAAGCCA